ATTCTCCCAGTGGGGGAGAAATGCCTCTCTCTAAGGGTCCCCCACAGGGCCTAAAGCCACCTTCCCACCCAATCCTTCAGTCTCCCATTGAACCTCTCACCGGGTGCCTTCCAGGCCACATCCAGAGGTTCAGACAAGCCGTCGTGCTCCACGTGGCACCGGTAGAGGTCCCTCTCCTCAGGGTTGATCTCGATGCTCAGCCAGGTATAGTAGGTCCCATCCGAATTGGGGGAAACACTCCCACGGTAGGTCTCCGCTTCCAAGCTCTCCCCGTCCTTGATCCACGTGGCCTCAATCTCCTTGGGGTAGAAGCCGTAGGCCTGGCAAGTGAGCCTCTCTAAGCCACCGTAGCTCGCTTTTGATGCCACCGTCACCACTGGAGGCTCTGTGGGGGGAAGAAAGAGGACACCACGGGCATCAAACGGACACCCAGCCCTTATCCACAGAAGGGTGGATGTGCCATTTTTGGGGTGGGGAATGTTCAGCTTCCGGATCTTTAGACCATCCATTCCGAGAAGCCTGGACTTTGAGCATCGGGGACATTTAGAGAATCAGATATTCCATATCCGTGGAGTTAGAATTACATCATCCTCTGCCATCCTGGCCTTAAGTTTGAATGTTTAAGTGTTCTGCCTCTGAAAACACTCCCAAAGGATCGAACACAACTCCAAAAACTCTGGAAAAAAAATATACTGAGTGCTTGAGGTCAGTCATGGTGTCCCCATATCAGATCTTCGAAAGTGACTTTTAAAAAATAACACTTTCCTGTCAATTTGGTATCACATCTGGACCCAAACTGGCTGCTGTAGTTCCTTACAGTGTGACAAAGAGTGAAAAAAATAACTGACAGCACTCTTAGTTCACACATATTTGTCTACTTTCAAAAAAGGGTTGATAAGAATGGGTCTGTTCCTCTTAAAATGGTTTTTTACTTTATGATGTGAGGGTGAAGTGCAATCAATAAAATCTCCTTAAATAATCGCAAACATTTAAAGATGCAATTTAAAAAAAATTAAATATTATAGCACCTTAAAGGTGATATGCAATACCTTTATAGACCACTTATATTTGGTTTTTTTTTAAAATCATACAATTTGCAATTTTCATGGGTAAATCCCACTTCTTCAAAGCAAGCACTAAAGGTACAAAAATGGTCCTTATTCTGAAGAATATTGCATATTGTATGATTTCT